TTGCACTCTTTCTCTCTCAAAAATAAATAAAAAATTTAAAAAAATTTAAAATAAATAAAAGTAGTAAATTGGGAGAGATTTGTTAAATACTCTGTAGATTCATAAAGACATTTGTGACACATGTATTCTAACCCACAAGGACAAAGCTAAATTGTATATCTGTATTATAATGTTGCTTAAGTCAAATGTATGTAGGAATAGTTAAATAAAAATATTTTATTAACATTTCAAATAATTTTCAAAGCCAGAGTTTTCTAAATGGCCCAATGTAATAAAATGGGAAGTACTTTAGCCTTCTCATACTTCTCCAGTTAAAAGTAATTTGCAGATATTCAGAAACTAAAATCTTTTAAAGTTTAAATTCTTATCTTCTCTATACAAAGTGGCTATGAAAGATGCCATGAAATTGTGTGTGTGTGTGTGTGTGTGTGTGTGTGTGTGTGTGTTCTTATAATGTCTTGAGTTAGATTATGCTAATGGCAATATTTCCATTTATTCAATCTAATATTTGGTTTTAGTGTTTACTCTTTCTCTTGCTGAGACAGAGCATCATGGATGAATTTTTTGATTGTTAAAGAAATGTAAAATAATTTTCTTTTCTAGCTTAGATTTCTGATTTCTAGAAATCAAAGGTCTGAACTGTAAGTATTAACTTTAAAGTGGGGGGGCAGGAAAAGGGCTAGGCTTTTAGCTTGAGATGTATACACAAAATATTACTACATCAAATGTATCTGTGAACATATATATCATTCAAAAAAGGTATGTGAAACCTGATTCTCTAATCAAGAGAGAGACCATGTTATCAGAAATGTGGTAAAATAACTCAATTGATAGTTGTATTGTGGTGTCATAGTCACTGCCTAGAGATAAAGTTTAAGACAATACTTCTCAAACTTGAATGGGCATATCAATCAGCAGGGGATCTTATAGAAACGTAAATTCCGCTTTAGTAGAACTGAGTGGGCCTTCATTACTGCATATCTAACAAGCTTTCAGGGAATGCCTCTGCTCTTGGTCCTTGGACCACACTTCCATAATGTGGAGGAGAGATTGGGGTAAATCTCATGATTCCACTCCATTTTTCTCTCTTTTCTCCCAACAGTGGGCTGACCTTCTAATCTACTCAAGCCAGGGTGAATTGATACCAACAGAGTAAGGTGAGGAAGTAGTTTCTTTAACACTTTGCTGCAGATAAGTCAACTAAAAAGAAGGTACCTGTTCTATCATATATTAGCATGCTAAGATCACTCCAGGGCTACAACAAATAAAAAGATTGTTGGTAACATATGTATGACATGAGTTTTTATTTTTTTTAAGTTTTTTTTTTTTTTTTAGTTTTATATGGTTTTGTTAATAGTTAAAGGTAAAAAATTTGGAATTTTCTACCAAACTATGTGTTTATCACTAATATGTTGCTTAGTGATTTGAAAACAAGGACATTTTTTGCTTAGATTGAAAAAAACATACATAGAGTATAAATGATTCAACACCGTTGCAATAATTTCTTTCTGGTTTATCCAATTACATGCATACAGTTCTTCTGATAATTGGATAGCTTATTATTTCCTACACATAAATGTATGAGTTCCTTGATGGCGAAGACTATGCTTCATACCCTCTCAGTGCATTCCAGAAGGTCCGGGGCAATTCTGTGCACCCAGCAGCTTTCGTCACATGCAGTCACTTCTCCTAACTCTGTGTTCTACTGCTCTACCTTGTGAGCAACATGCTGAAGCATAAAGCCTGTCCTGCACTGAAAGCTGCAGTTAGGGTGCACATGTGGTTCCGGTTTTCACTTCCTGAGGATCGTTTGTTTTGAAGTGACTCTTGTCCTGTTTACTTTTGCAGAAAGCCTTGTCTAGCACTTGAAAAGGAGCTTGACAAGAACTGCTGATTGATTCTCTGGGAACAAATTATGTCCCTTTTGGGATTGTAAACATCTGGTAGATTATTGTTAAAATTTTAGGATGGGTTTATTATACTATTCTGTCTTGTGTACATTTGAAAATCTGCATAAGCAAAACCTGAAAAAAAAAAACAGGGACTTGAACAAGGGAAAATACTATTTATAAGATCAGGGTTGTGTAAAAATAGAGAACTTAAGGGATGCCTGGATGGCTCAGTTGGTTGAGCATCCAACTTCTGCTCAGGTCATGATCTCATAGTTCGTGAGTTCGAGCCCTGCGTTAGGCTTTGTGTTGACAGCTTGGAGCCTGGAGCCTGCTGTAGATTCTGTGTCTACCTCTCTCTTTGCCCCTCCCCAGATCATGCTCTCTCTCTTTCTCAAAAATAAATGAACTTTAAAAAAAGAATAGAGAACTTAAAATGGACACAAAGACATGTATATATGTATTCATTAATAAATAAAGACATATGTATGTACTTTGATAGGACTGTAAATTCAAATCTTACAAAAAAAGGTTTATTTGAATAATTATTTATTCCTAGAGATTAAAAAGAGTCAAGGTTTTAGAAGCTTGTTACTCTCTTGAGCTAGTCAAATGGGTTAAAGATGATCAAATGTAAGAGGATATTTTTAAAGGCTATAATGCCTAATGCAAGTCCCCTGTTCATGATCAGGATAGAGAACAAGGCTTCAAGTTTAGTTGTTACATGGGTCTATTGGTTGTCTCAGTAGTTCTCACTTACTGAACTTGAATTGTCATGTCAAATTTTGGTTAATTACAAAGACTACATGAGAATCTGGACTGATGAGTGCAAAGCATACTACTGTTAGTGAAACAACTTGAAGTAAATCACATCTGTCATTCATTCACTTGTTTGAACAACAAACATTAACTACAAGGCATATTTTATACAAGGCACTGTTCTAATAACTACAGGAGAAACAAGATACATTAGGTTTGTTTTGATGATGAGTTAATAAAAGAGTCTTCATGTTAAAAAAACCAAAAAACCTCTAGGTATGTCAGTGCGAGAAATGTTATTTTCTGACCTGAAAATATCTTAGCCCTTTAGGCTTATTTAGATAGACATTAATAAACATAAGCAGGTCAAAACTGTGATTTAGGGGGCACCTGGGTGGCTTAGTCGGTTGAGCATCCACCTTCGGCTCAGGTCATAATCTAGCAATTTGTGAGTTCAAGCCCCACATCAGGCTCGCTGCTGTCAGCTTGTTAACGCAGAGCCCACTTAGGATCCTCTGTACCCCCCCAACCCCCCTGCTTGCACTCTCCTCAAAATAAATATTTAAAAAACCTGTGATTTAACATTTTAGTACCAGCTCACGTTATAACCTGTTGAATAAACAAATAAAGTTATAGACCAGTTTGTAGTATGATTCATATTTTATAAAAATTCATGTGTATATTCATGTACATCGATATGTGTCTATCTAGGTTTGGAAAATTTGGGGCCAGATGTATACCAAACTTGAAGAGTCTAGTCTAGGAGATGGAGTTGGGTGGGTGGAACAGAGAGAAACTTTCACTTCTAAGGTGAACTTTGGGAGATTTTTACTTTTTTTTTCTCTTTAGTATTTTTCAAATTAAGAAATTATAATTTCACTTTTAGGGGTGCCTGGGTGGCACCATGTTGGCTCCTTCAGTTAAGTGTCTGACCCTTGATTCTGTCTCAGGTCATGATCTCGTGATGATTGTGAAATCAAGCCCCATGTCAGGCTCTGCGCTGACAGAGTGGAGCCTGCTTGAGATTCTCTCTCTCTCCCTCTATCTCTGCCCCTCCCCTTCTCACTCACACACACGTTCTCTCAATCTCTCTCTCTCTCTCTAAATGAGTAAACTTAGAAAAAAGTAGTTATAGGGGTGCCTGGGTGGCGCAGTCGGTTAAGCGTCTGGCTTCAGCCAGGTCACGATCTCGCGGTCTGTGAGTTCGAGCCCCGCGTCAGGCTCTGGGCTGATGGCTCAGAGCCTGGAGCCTGTTTCCGATTCTATGTCTCCCTCTCTCTCTACCCCTCCCCCATTCATGCTCTGTCTCTCTCTGTCCCAAAAAAAAAAAAAAAAAAAAAAAAAAAAAAAACGTTGAAAATAAGAAAAAAAAAGAAAAAAGTAGTTATAATTTAAAGTATCTTTTAAAAGATCTAGCCCATGTCTCTGTCTTTAGGTAAATAATAAAATCATGTAGGGGCATTTACCTTTGGTTTTAGATTTTCCTTTTATGTAAGCAAAGCACTACAGTATGGCTACTATTGTTGCTTATATAACAGTATTAGGACAAACATACTCCAGAATTAAAACTGGTTGTGTGAGACTGGAAAGGTCATGGGTAACCTATTTGCTTTTCCTTATATTCCAAATTTTCTGTAATATGACTTTTTGATGTTTTGGTTAATATGAATTAAAGAATAAAACAAAAGTTATGTAAAATACATTGGCTTATATAACATATAATGACACACATGTGTATTTCAAGACCATTAAAAGATTAATTTTACAGTGCATTTCAAGACTATCACAAGAATAGGATTGCAGTTAGGTATGTCTTCTTTCTAAAGTATAAATCAGTGAGACGGCATCTGTAAATTATACCATATGTGAGTAATTAACAAGTTAATGATGGCCAGCTTCAAAGATACTTTTGTTCTTCTAATAAATGTTGCATTCACATTAAAACCATAACACACAAAAGGAGAATATTTCACGAACATTTGCTGAAAGTGTCAGGATATTTTGGTTATTTTTTCGCTAAAAGTCAATCGTATAAGTAGGGTTGTAACATTGTCAGATATCAATGTATTTGTTAGGAAGCCTTCGTTATGCATTTTTCCCTCTTAGTTACCCCAGCAGCTCCACATAATGGAAGAGGCCAAGGACCCTGGTTTTAGATCCAGGTCTACCACATACACACCACAAGGAGCATCGGTTTTAGGTGTCACTTAAGCTTTCTCTGCATCACTCTTTTCATTTGTTTAAAAAAAAAAAGGAAATAAGAGCAAAAAAAATGATTCTTTTTTTTCCTTTGGGGTTCTCAGAGTGAGGGAAAGTTTGGGGGAGAGACAGGAACAGGTACGTAGGGGTTGTCTTCTCTACATCAGCAGGGCTGGTTTCATGGGCATGTGACCAGTGCAGTTGCAAAGGGCTCCATGGTCAGCAGGATCTCCCACTTGATTGAAGCTTCTATGGCCACCATCCTAAGATTCTTAGTCATTTTATCTTAATTGTGTTATCTGTAGGTGAAATTGGATATGACAATGGAGAAGAATTGAGGACCTCCCAGTTGATGCCCTGCCACCCTGAGGTGGTTCTTAGCTGCTGGCTCCTTTGATCCTTGGACCCTTTCTGGCCTCCCAGATCTTCCTCCCTCTGCGGGGTCCTGGGCACAGCTGAGGAGAGGGTCTTGCCCATCCCACAGTATCTAAGAGCTGGGCCTTGGTGCATTGCACACATGGGGACCAGCCTTTTGCCCACTCCTGATCTAAGTAACTAGTATAACCTATCTGTCTTGGGCTGGGGTGTTGAGCTTGTGGGAGGGGAGGATAATGAAGATGCCTGGTTCAGTACCCTTGACCCCAACTGGGGTACTGTGTGTGTGTTCAGCGACTGGCAAGAAGGGACACCTGGCAGCTGATGAGTGTCCACATGTTGTAGATGTGCACACACTCCACACGATGGGTGAGGCCACAGCTCTGTGAGCTGCTGTGCTGACTGGCCTCAGCCCAAGGGAACATTGCATAGCAAAACAAAACAAAACAAAAACAAACAAACAAAAGCACCTGAGACAGAGACCACAAATGAAAGGAAGTCCTTCGATTTTAGTGTCTATAATGACACTCTTTACCTGTTTTATCGAACCAAGGGCCACACATTTTTTATTTTTCACTGGGCCCTGCAATTTATTTAGTCTGTTCTGTGTGTCAAGGTGTGCATTAGGTTGCTGAAAAGATTAGATGTGGTAAGATATGGTAAACATTTCACAAAGGGTCTGAGACATAGTAGACTTTCAATAAGTAGCAGGATTAGGAAGCAAATCGGGGTGTGCTCAAAATATAAAGAGATGAGAAAGGAAACTCTGGAAGGGACAAATAATCCTACCAGAATCACAAGCGAAGAATCCTTCCATTTTGCTTTCCCTCCTCTTTCCCTTTCTTCAGTATCAGTGACTATTTCTAGGGCATGGCTTGCTCCTTTGGAAATAGAGATTTTGTTCTTGAGGACTCATTCCCCAAGCTTTTGATAACGTTATCTGGAAAGTGGTTTGCAATTTAAGAGGCCATTTCTAGAGCGGTGTGAGGAAGGATGATTGGCTGAACACCTCATTTGCGGTGCCTGTCTATCCGTTCACCTGAGTGGTATTTTGATACCAGTTAAAAGGTAGCCCAGGGGATGTTAGAGCTGGAAGGTGTTATAAAACCTTTACCTCAGCCCCTCCATTTCCAGGTTGATTTGTTCTTGTCCTCTGTATGTATTTGAACTTCAAAACGGAGCATGGCAAGAATGGCGTGAACCTGTTAAAGGTTGTAGACTCTCAGCAGGAAGAAAAAAAAATAATTTTAGACTCTGGAAGAGAGAGGAAAATGCCCTGTTTGTTATTGTGTATTTTTTTTTCAACGTTTATTTATTTTTGGGACAGAGAGAGACAGAGCATGAACAGGGGAGGGGCAGAGAGAGAGGGAGACACAGAATCGGAAACAGGCTCCAGGTTCTGAGCCATCAGCCCAGAGCCTGACGCGGGGCTCGAACTCACGGACCGCGAGATCGTGACCTGGCTGAAGTCGGACGCTTAACCGACTGCGCCACCCAGGCGCCCCTGTTATTGTGTATTAAGAACATTAGTTTATCTGAAAGGAGTTTACACAGCTTGTTAAGAAATATTTTCCAAAGAATTAAGTCTCGGTTTTCTCTTATCTCATTTTTACCTTGCCACTAACCCATGAGCAGTAGAACTGCAGGATCTTCTCAAGTATTATGGCCAATAAAATAATTCATGAATGTAATATGTTTGGTCTGGGGAAATCTATTTTTATCTATTACACGGTACGTGGAGTGCCCTGCACTTTCTTCCAAGTAACTTTTGGAAGATATCTGGCAAAATAATTCAATATGACTAGCAGTGATTTCTTGGAGACTGGTATTGTTTTGACATGGAGAGCATTGAAAACATATGGTCTTTCACGTCTCTTGCCTTGTGCTTTCCTTGAAAATGTTTATATTTGCTTGTGGTAAAATGCATTAAGTTTCATAATCCTGAACAACCTTCTGGTACACAGATTCACTTTCAAGCAGTGCAACTGGGGAAACAGAAGTTTTTACAAAAAGATGAGATTTTCTTATGTAGCTGTGCATTTTAGACAACACAGGTGCCAAATTTTATTTTATTTCATTTTTTTCTAATGTTCAAACTCCAAAGCAACTGCTAGGATAAATTATCTTTATGTCTCCTTCTCAATATCTCATATTCTTCCAGAATCAATGTAAGTTTGGCCACATTTGTCAGCCTGAGAGTGATGGCAAAGTCTATGCTCATTTAACCTCTGAGTGTGGTTTCTACACTGTTCATTGACCCTTGTGATTATGACGATAAATGTTTCCTGTGCATATGGGGGGATGAGATGGCTTGATTGAAAGGTTTTTCTTGACACAGGATGACTATAAAAAGTATATTTTCTTCATACATGATGATAAATCTGCTAATGGCTATTTCATTTATGTCAAGAATCAGTAACCTATCTTTCTCTTCAGCATTTGCCATATTTAAATCAAGGAAGTAAAAGGTAGTTCTGGCCATACTCATTAACAATGGAAATTGAAGTGAATTTTGAAGACATCAAAATATACATATTTAGAAAAGAGATTATTTTCAGGTTTTCTGAAATTAAATCTCAGAGATCGCATGCTAGCTGGTCAAGCTTTATATTTTGATTTGTTGTATGCATTATAATTGAATGGACTTTACGCCATCTTTTTTTTTAAGGCATATGCATACATACATTTGCTTTCCTGACCTTACTTTTCAGCTGATGGCAAGTTCAGCCTAAAATGTTGGTTGGTACTAAATTCAGAGTAGTTTTATGATTCTGGTGATAGACTTTATACAAAACTAAAATGCTGAGGCCCATTAAAATGTTGAAAAATACCTTTAGTGTATTTGGTGTTGAAAGTCTGCCACTTTTCTTTTCAAAGCCCCATTATAATATTTATGTATTAAAATCTCCCAGTTATGTTTTAATTCTCAATTTATTAGGATTGTGTCTCTTTGAGAAAACTTCAGCATACCAAAGAAAAATGTGAAGAGATACTCCCTGCCCCAGAACTTATGGCAACACCAATTAAAATATCAGAGTAATGATAATGCCCAAATGCTCATTTTATAATGAATGTGGTTTTCTGAAGCATACAGTTTTCCGGTACTTTGGGCCAATTTTCAAAGAAAAATTATTTAATCTTTATTTGAGGTATTAGTTAAAGGAAAAACAGCTTGACTCTAAGCACTTTGGAATTCATTCAAGACTCAAATTATTAAAAGTGATTCAATCTGTTCACTGTCTTGGGTTTTTCAGAGATTATCCACCTGTAGTAAATTGAAAAACCAGGAAAGACTGTATTGTTAGAGCATTTTCCAGTTGGCCCATTAAGTGCTTCATGGAGATTTCTTGTCTGAAAAAGATGGGCCTGACATGCACTGTTTGTTCTATTTGTTTTGAGAAGATAATAACGGCAAAAACCTCCAATCATCTTAAAGATGTACAGATACTCCCATATGGGCAGCACATGAATTTTCAAGATTAAGGCACTTTGAAGGGGATTGTAGCTTTATGGAAGTTACATGAGCATTGGGATGGGAGAATCAGGCCAATCCTTATTAGTATGATTAAACCATTCTTACATGGAATCTGCCTAGAATAGAAACAAGTCATCCAGAACCTGATGGAAGTGAGGTAATGAATATAATAAGCTACAGAAGCAAGAGAAGTCAGGGTGCTTCCAAAGGGTTTATAGTTTGATTAGTATTAAAATTAGAAGGCTCTGACCCTCTGACACTGAAGGGACTATTTCGTAGCATCAGTATTTTCAGATGCTACTCTAAAAATAATGACATGTACCGTGTGACCCAGGCAAAGAGGCTGAGAGTAACTCTGATTATCCAGTTTTGTTGTGATCATTTTATTCAAAGAAGAGCTTCTAGAACTCGTGAAAAGTACACACCATAAAGTTGTCAGATATACTATAACTCGCTCATAAATTCTTGATATTCTGAACATATCTGAACATACTTACTGTGATCTGTTTGGCATGCGTTGTGATCTCTTTAAGGGGTCCTTGCCCACATTGCGCCGATGAAATGTTTTTTGTGTTTTGAATACGTTTCTGTTTTAGCAGTCAGATCCAGCAAGTGGAACAGATTTCGGAGTCTGATACAGAATGGTTTCAGTTTGGAGTTTTGCAGACTGGGACTGTTTTTATAATGAAAGCCACAAAGAGCAGAGCTTTGCCCTGTGAAAGCATAGTCTAAAATCAGTCAAACTTTGATTCAGGTCAAATATTTCAAAATAAATTCTTCAACCTTAAAATTGTAAAAGTTATTATAAAAATATTGTTGAGAAATATATATTTTTTCTTACTACAAATCACTTTTCAGTATATCAAGATGAACAGAATTCAGTCAGAGAAGAACAATCAGTGTATCTTTTGAGGAAAAATAGTTCTGATGATTTTGTTTTGTATATGTCTGTTCCAGCTGAATCCAGATACGTGTGAGGAAGCTAGAGACTGGGCCCCATAACCCGTGCTGCCCTCACTCTGACAAGGTTTGGTCAAGAACCATAACTGAGCCATTAAATATATAATATTAGATTGAGTTGCCTGGGTGGCTCAGTCGGTTAGGCATCTGACTCTTGGTTTCAGCTCAGTTCATGGTCTCACAGTTCATGAATTTGAGCCCCACATTGGGCTCTGCATGGACAGTGAGGATCCTGCTTGGGATTCTCTCTGTCTCCCTCTCTCTCTGCCCTTCCTGCGCGCGCTCTCTCTCTCTCACACACACACACACACGCACACACACAATAAATAAACAAAATATGTAATATTAGATTATATATCCTAATTTGAGGCACTTTTGAGTGCCTTGAAACTTTGCACTACTGCCTCTTGCTTGAATAAGGGAATTTGGCAAGCAGAGCAGAGTCCAGGTAGATATTGGCCTCTGTTGAGGAACTAATAGGAGGCTAAGGGTCTAACTGAACTATGTGCAAAGAGAAGCTAAGAGAGGTCCCTTGTGATTCTCTTGGTTAGAAATTCTTTGAAACATATCTTGTTTTTGGGAAGTGATCTGTGGGCTATCCTATTCCAACTATTCACTTGGAAAATTGCCTTCGTCTAATGGCTCCATTTTATAGTCATTCTGGAACCTAGTACTGAAGGAAATTAACAAAAATCAATGTTTTCTGTGAAGCAGATGAAGCTCTTTTATGCATCCCAAACATACAATTTAGAGATGTGTAAAAAAAAAAAAAGAATGGAAAACTAACACAGTATATACTGGAGAACCTATTTCTATAGAGTGTCATGAATTGTCAGAGCTGGAAGGTCTCAAAACTAGAGGTCATTCAGTTTAACCCCTTCACCTTCACCACTATTTGTATACCCTTGACCCAGGACATCTCCCGATTTCCCAAATTAACAAGTGAATGTTTGTGCCACTTACCACATTTTAACCACCTTTCCAACTTCTAATGAAATTTTCTCTCTTGCTAAGTAAACAACATTTATTCTGGCTGGAGTATAGGTGAAGACTGCTCTTCGACTGCTTGAACTTGCTTCTATATGAAATGTTCGTATTAACCCAAGACACTAAGTCACTGCTGAATCGAACATTCCAGTCTTACAGACAGCCTTTCATCACAGCCTACTTTCATCGGCTCCTTTCCTTCTATTGCCAGCTCTAGGGTTAAAGATCTTGGGGAAGAGAAGTTGGAAATGGTTTGTTTGTTATTTTACTTATTTATCTGCCAAGAGAGACATGTTGAGATAAAATGTGACACTTCACTAGGTCTATTCACTGGCCAGTTTTCTCTTTTGTCTGAGTATTACTGCCTTTTGTGAGAGGTTAAAAATGAAAAGGTTAAATTTACTAATTCAGGAGTCTACTGTATCTGTAACTTAGGCTAAGATCTTTTGACAAAATCCTTTTAATTTCTAGCAGTACTATTCAATCCATCATCTCCCCTCTCTGTCACCATTCCTGTCTATCGAGGAAGGATGTGACATGAGGCCAGTAGATACTTCTGGAGATAAGTCTTCCAGTCATACACGTACAAACAGATTAACAATCAAAAAGGAGAGACCACCTGGAAGTTTAAGAGCAGGTATATTGTTTCCCTGAGACTTCTGGTCCCTAACTCTGCACCCAGGGACTGTCAAGCTATGTTGAATCCCAAATCACCAAAAGCTTGGCTTAGTTATCACTGCATTTCTAGTTGTTTTTTTTTCTTTTTTTAGTGACATCCATATCACGTGTTCTCTTTCTACAGTCTTTTCTTTAGCTTCTTCTTCCATTCTCATAGCTCCCATTCTCAGCTCAAATACTTAACAATTTTTTAAGTTAATTTACTTATCTTAGAGAGAGAGAGAGAGAGAGAGAGAGAGAGCGCACGCACATGCAAGCAGGGGAGGGGCAGAGAGAGAGGGAGAGAGAATCCCAAGCAGGCGCCATGGTAAGGGTGGAGCCTGATGTGGGGCTAGATCTTATAACTGTGGGATCATGGCTTGAGCCAAAACTAAGAGTTGGTCACGCAACAGACTGAGTCACCCAGGTGCCC